CTTTGAGGCATCTGGAAAAGTCCCACTGAATTCAGGGACATGGGAACTCTATAATGGAGTGCCTTTTTCCTTGCTGACAAATCCTTGTCTTTGCTGCGTGCCCCACCTTGGTTCAAGAAATAAGTCCTTAGAACCAGCTCAGAGCCATCCTCAGACTTCCACTAGAGCAGAAGTTCCACAGGTCGGGGAACGTGCGGTTGCGGTTAGATAGCAGCCAGCCTGTGGCAGACCATCTAATGCGATAACAGCGATACACGTCCAGATACTATGAATATCGGTGCTTCATCTAATCTGATGGCGTTTCCCGTCGCCCACACTTCCGCCGCCTTCGTTCACCTCATCATCATCACATTGTCATGTACTTACGTGGACTCATTTATTTCGGCCCTATTTGCCCTAGTTGGCCCTTTATGGTCCCTAACCGAGCTGCTTACGTATTCCGTTGTCTTTGCCGAGCTCTTATCTGCACTTCTATTATACTCGCCTCATGTCAATATTTTCCTATTAACTCGAATAATCGAGAACTCGTCTCATTCTCCACCACGGGCCGAATATACGGTATTCCCTATGGGACCCAACGGCATTTAGCTGAAGCCGCTTATCACATCACGACACTCGCTCCGATTCATTAATTGAGTCTCGGCTACGGTATAATTGCAGCACAATTTGTTTGGTTGCGTCCGAATTCGAAAGGAAGGGAGTTGGAATGGGCAACGTTTCATCCCTACGGGATACTGAGGGTTCCGTTTTTGAGGGTTTACATCGCAGAATTAAGCCTTGATCAACTGATTACCTAGGCTTTGTAGCGTTTTCTTTGGGATCAGATGACAGATTTCTCCTGAAAACTCGCCGGCCATCATCCCCATGAGAACAGGCGGCCAGTTCAAGCCTCCAGGGTCATTCATCGTGTGGCCATATTTTCATCTGCTCCGCTCAAACCTTCTCATGACAAACGGTTGTCGTCGCGCTGTTATCTCTGATAATCGTCGCCACGGGCAGTGTCACGCCACGGATTGGTGGGTTCCACTCGACCACGCCCATCGGTGTTTTTCACACTGGCGACCATTGGCTGGCCCCGCCCCTTTTGTGAACCGCCCATCGCGCGACGATGGACACATGGCCGCGCCCTAAGTCACTTACGTATTGCGTGTAGCTGTCTATCTCGTTAACGCATCTCTGATATTTATCAACGAACAGGTGATAGGCGATCAATGTGTTATCAAATCGCCGTCATCAACAACTGATTTCATGGTGATTATTGCTTTCGCGTGTCTTATCTGACAATTCTGATCTACGAGCTCCGGCAATCTGTTCCCGGACATCGTGGAGGGTTCGCTGATTCCAGGGGTGATTATTTCAACTGATTCCGGGATAACTAGCCAGTCTGAGGCTTTTAAAGGTCCACTGAAGGAAACTCTTGGTGGTTATATGTGAGGCTGGTGATAGATGAGCTGTGTCATTATTCACCTCCGATTCCACTCGCGTCTTTCCGCTGCTCGATTCTTGCTCGGGTATCCTTATGTCATGCCCAGGGTTGTAATGTTTTCCCACCGTCGATCGCCTCCTCCACATCGTCGTCGCCGTCGTGGTGGTGTCGTCAACGCGCTTCCGAACGCGCTCATGTTTGACATTTTCTGTCTGTCCTGGCATCTCGACTATTCGTCTGTGACAGTCGCGTGGTCATCCTCGTCTCGGCTAAATCTGACATTGAATTCCAGATGACCACGGTCTTCAATGACTATGCAGATTCGCTGGCCGCTCCATCTATGTATCATCATTCCATGGCGCTTGAAACCGATCAGAATGTGCCTGTTTCGGAGATGATTATGGCCGACACACAAGACATCAACGTGAAAAGCGACGATAATGTACGTGGTGGTGTGTAGGTCCCGCGCCGAATTCGATTACCGTAATGTCTTTAATTGTGATCTTACACGCTTATTTAGGGTTTTGCTTCTCCGATCAAACCGGCACCGTTTTACACCACTCCCACTGATGCCATGTATTATACGAATAATTTCAAGGATTACGGTATGTTTTTGTGCGACTACTTTCTTGCCTTTAACTATAGTTAGCATTTATCAACAGTGAATTTAAACTTTTTCAATAGTGTTGTTGTATTTGAAGATTATTTTGAATTTGTAAAATAGATCTTAGTTATAGTTATTACACTGAGTGGCTACCTGGCCACCAGAGGCCAAAAGGCCAAAAAGGCCTTATACAATGCCATTCTCTCAAGGTAGTGAAATCCAAACAGAAGTTTCGAAATGAGGCTAAGCCTTCTGTGCTGGTTTGGCCCGTTTCTGAGGAGTTCTGTACCGGGGGTAAATTTTGGTACTCTAGTTCACTGCATAATTGGAGGAGGTCCACCGAAAAGCTTTTCCAGACCGCTTGGCGGCGATCTGTAATTTAGTAACAGTCTAGACCAAGCTGAAAATCTTGCCTATATTCTAGCTGTAAGGCCGAATCCAATTTGGGTCATTTATGGGCCCAGGTACAGGGACTTTTCAAACTTAATTAAACCAACTGCTTTGCCTTACTTAAAGTATAGCCCTAGCTTTGGGCCTTCCAACTTCATTCTAAGACCTCTTCAGGCTACTTCTTCATACTGGGACTATCTCGAAATCTGGTTTAGGTTAGTATTTGGAAGAAACACTGAGAAACCTCCTTTTAAGCCCTTGAGTCAGCTCATTGATCGCTGAAGAGTCATCTTCGGTACTGAGCTGGGTTTCGAAACCCGTCGGAAACCCATCATAAGCTCGCATCTTTCGCAATCTGAAAATCCTTCTGTTCTTACCTAACATAGAGAGTAAATCAGGTTTCCGTAACTTCTATTCATACATTGTGCGAATCAGTACAAGATTAAATTCCTATCTTTTTGAAAAAAAAAAAAAAAAAAATAAAAAAAAAAAAAAAAAAAGGCGCTTGTAGTGACTCTGAGTCTACCTTAGGCATCGATTATTCGGGTCATTCACCTGCCACTTGAGCAATGTCTAAACCTAGGAGGTCTTGGACTTCCCCATTCTGGGGTAGCTCCACCCTGAACAGGACTTTCTTCAACCTGAGATGATCCTGCTCCGAAGATGCACCTTTTTCTCCAGAAACTCCGATGAATTTTGGGAAAAATTACCTGGATCCAACGAGGGTTGTGAGGGCTCCTAGGTCATGAGCCCGGCTCGGATTCACCCCTTTTGAACCCGTTAAACCTCATTACCCCATAGGCTATGCTATGCTGTTGTACCATATGGAAACGGGAGCGATTCGTTGCGGTTCATTGACTTCGACGGCCCCCCGCTGATGTTAGCTGGGCAGCGGCTGTGAGTGGAGGAGCCCAGGGGTATTTCGCATCATGCGCATTGATTACCCTGAGGGGAAATGAATGAAGGGGGCAAACACACACTGCTAGTGCCATACATCATGAATCAGCCCTAAACTGACTTTCGTGCTGTTCTTCAAGAATATTACGGTCGTTTTTCAGCCGGGTACATTATCAATCCGTCGATGTATCCACCCTATACGCTACCGGCAACGACGGCCGCCTGCTCGGGTAATGATGCCAGCTTCAATCAGATGATGGATCCGTCGATGCTTGGTCAGTTCAGGAGTGATTTTCTGCAGATTTTATGGTCCCCATTAGAAGTTTGAATTGTGCAGCTCGATTTTTCCCCGAATGTACTCAATCGATCGGACAGCGTTATCTTCGCCTCAGATCTATGTGTATTGGTGTAGCTGTGCGTGTGTGTGAACGCGCTCCTCGTCGTCACGGCGTTGTAGGAGCTGCAAAATTCACCTTGTCAACTGTTTGATCCCACTCGACTCCACCCATTTCAGGTCACAACACCGCGAAATGCTTCGTTCTATGGCTCCACGTTCAACTATCCCACGTACGACTACTCATCGCCATTGATACCACGAGTTCCGGGTTCAGCCGCGCCATCAGGGCGCCGGTGCTGGCGCCGGCGTCGCCTGCTCCACCAGCACCTCCGGTTCGTCCAGTTCGAACGGCTCTGCACATTCGACGCTCGCCTCACGGAGTAAGGCCCGAACCTCAGCATGTGCGTAATGCGCTGCACGTTTTGGTGCGCTGTGGTGCGGTGTTGTGTGTCTGTGTGCTTGTGCCTTCTATTTCCGTAGGATAGAAACGACCATTCGATCAATAATTTTTGAAAACATCCTGTCGAAAAACTCATTTTGTTGCCTGCCAGAGTACTGTATGCCTGTACTTCTGCAAGTGCAGACTCCACTTGATTGATAAGTTCCTGAATGCCAATTGTGTGTGTAATAGTGAGGCACGGCACGGGCCTCTTCAATGGCCAGCCAGCACGAGCATGTCTTGTGAATGTGAAAGTGATGTGCATGTGCAGAACGTGCAGTACCCGATACTGAACGGTGATTTAGTTTCAGCTGAAGGACGAGAATGCGTGAATTGCGGCGTACAAGCCACCCCACTTTGGCGACGGGACGGCACCGGTCACTACCTCTGCAACGCCTGCGGACTCTACCACAAGATGAATGGTCAAAATAGGCCGTTGGTGAAGCCAAAGAAAAGACAGGTAGGCGAGTTTTCTTGGTCAGAAATAGCCCTCCAAAGACCACACCCAACTAGCTGGTCGCGTGCTCCGTATCACTATCAATCAACGCGCGTTATCATTTGTCGTTTGTTATCTTATCAATCCCTTCGTCCGTCGCCCATCACTCTCACTCACCAGCCGCCTATCAGATACATGTTCATGGCGCAGATTATGACACCCCGTCGCGCTTGTTAGTTTACACCTCGTCAAGGGGGTTACGGTAGCGCGTGAGAGCCTGCGCTCTCCACACTGCGCACATTCTCTGCGCCGCGGGGAACAGGTTTCGAACACCGTATTTGGTCACCGGCACGGCACTGTTTTGAGCGAATAGTTTCTAGTCGTTTACAAACAATGCGAAACAAGATTACACTCTATCCGGGTTCTCCATAAGGGATTACGGGGAGAAGCTGTGTCCTGTGGGATCATTCAAGGGGTAGGGTTTCAGAGAGGATTGTTTACATGTCAACTAGTTGACCTCCAAATAGTTCGCCTGATAGTATCAGTCGTCAATTAAGAAATGCAATCCTCTTCACTCACCCGTATGGGCGATGACGCAACTCCCGAACCTCCACCCATTCCTCACTCTCGGCGTTGGCTGTGTAACAGGTCACGACCTTATATGTCAGTCAGCTCCGAGTACGATGAGGATTACTGTAGCTGGTTCAAAAACTATCATCGATGGCTAGCCAGAAGGCCATGTCAGCTACAAATAGAATTTGACACGTCGAATTAGTCGCGTACGGACGTTTGTCGCGCGCGCGTATGCACAAATCGCGATGGACGGCTTCACAGCGTGTGGGACAACGAGCTGACGATGACCATGTCGACGCCAGCGCTGTTGGGTCTGTCCCATGTACCGTCGTTGTCGCTGTCGTGTGAGATAGCGATCACACATGAGACGATGACGACGACCGGGGGCGACCTTTGAGACGAGGAAATTTCCCCGTAAATCAACACCCTACAGTAGTTGCTGGTGCCGACTAAACCCTCCAACCTTGGGCGATAGCTGCTGAAGGACTGAGGCCTTTAAATCATTTTCAAGCTTAGTTTAGGTCTGGTAAAAGCGGACCATAGCGTCCATGTAGGCCATCACTACCAAACTGTCCAGGTGTCCAAGGTTTCCAACCCAGACTTTGCACAAGTCACTGAGCCGTAATCAGAGTGTTGAATTGCTGGGAACCTTATTTTAGGGTCCCATCTAGTCAGGAGGCATGAGTTTGACAGTTTTTATTGCCTGGGGTTTTTTGCAGGAGGAGGAAGCTCCAGGTAGAGGAGGGGGAACCTTTAAGAATTCCTCTCCCTGCAAAAATTGGAATTTCTGTAGGCGGCAGTAATTATCGCATAACATGCATCCCTTCACTGGATGAAACCCTGTTTTACTCCGCAGAATGGAGCTTCAACCAGTTGTGTAAAATCACGTGACTCCGAGTAACCATCACCCTGCTACCGTAATCCCACACCTGCAGTCCGTTGCTGCGCGTGTTTCTCTTTAGCCTTGAACAGTGAGTGACTTAGAGTTTGAAAATGATCTCTAAGTTCTTGGAAACGGAGAGTAAGGCTGGAATGCTCCAGAGAGGTCCTTCGTGTCCTTAGATATCTGCCTTATTCAGGAAAATGTGCTAGAAACACCATTCCACCCACCGTAGCTCAACCAATGGCCAGATCTCTAGCCCGCTAATCAAATTATGGCCAGATCTAGCCGGGCTTCGAAGCACGCAACAAGGGAAAATTATCGGAACAACGTCTTGAAATGGGAAAATAATATCTAATGGTCACCAACCTTGGTCACATCTAGCCAGGGATGGCTGCATTAACCGGGTGAGCGCGTCTGGTTCTAGAACTCCCCAAAAATTTGAATTCCCACGGCGCCTACTTTTTTGTTTGCTAAATTCTCAGTCTCACTAATTTTCAACTACCGTAATTCAAAATTGCCGACAATGAAGCTTCTCTTATGCAGCTTCTTTCAATAGTTTACAAAAGAGATTACAGTGGCAAAAAAATCACCTGATTCTCAAACAAGCTTGACAGTACCGTAACCTAATGGAGCGTCTTTAGAGTGCCCAAAAACGAACCGGAGTCGTATGTGTGAACTGTAACACGAACACAACGACACTGTGGAGGCGAAACGGTGGTGGTGAACCGGTCTGTAACGCCTGTGGACTCTACTACAAGCTGCATCAGGTAAGATGCTAGACCTTATGACCCACCAAGGCAAAATTATTAGTTGAAACTAATCCAGAACATGCCATGGGATTTTGCGCAGTTTGACAGGCATGATCGAGGGCCTGCAGTTTTTTTTTGCAAAATTGTTGCTGCTCCCATCGGCGCAGTATTTGTCCTATATTCACATTTTTTGAGGGCCATTTCACGCCACATATTTGAAGAGACAGCGGTAGGAACTCGTCACGCAGTAGTATTTGTTAATTGTAATTATAAATCTTCAAAATTATTAT